TTCCACAGAAGTTAAATACAAATCTCAGTGTCAAGCCAAATGTATGTTCTTTGCCAGGGTTACTGCAGCCAGAAAAGCAGTTCTCTATGCTTATGTATAATTCTCTCATTTCCTTTTGTACTCTTCATGATTTTATCCTGCTAGGATAACATCCCCATTTAAAGAAGTGGTTTACACCATTGTTTTGAGCATCTTCAAAATTCTTCACTTGTTTTCATCACACTTCCAGTTTAAGAAAAAATTGCATTTTTTATATTTATAAAAAAAGAAAAAAGCACAATAATTAATTTACACTGTGCTTTATTTCTGATCCAATTCCTTGATTACTATTGAGACCCATTTGTGTAACGAGTATACATTCTTAAATCCACTGAACAGTGTGAACAGTGAGAGATTCTCTACAATTAGTTTATTTTCAATTCAGTTCTTGTTTTCAGTTTACCTATTAAATGCTCTAAGCTTCAGTTAGTTTTATTTATATGCAAAAATGTAACATCAATACACATATACCCCACCCACACACCAGAAGTTCTCAACCTTTTTAGACTTTAAGCACTGCTTGACAGACTCCAGGCGCCCCTTGGAAAATGTTAGCTCTTAGTTTTCACTAGAGCAATTCTTCCATTGCAAAGAACTCGGAAAGCCCCAAATATGTTTTTAACACTAGGGAATCTTATCTGAAATCTCTGGGTTTGCACACCTCATAGTGCTAATGTTGTATGGCAACCTGCAGCACCCTAGTGGAGAATTACTGATATATACTAATTATTTGCATATCTGCATAAGTATTTGTCCCTACTTATTATCTATTACAACTGTTCTCTTCAAAATGCCTTTATCAGTTATCAGCACATTAAGAGACAGCAGCAGTACTTATAAACAATTACTACTTTCTTGCAAGTTCTATTATTAACATTTTAAATCCTTGACACTCTCACCTTACCTAGAGCCTGTTCTACGTCTTCCTGCTCTGTAGGCAGATGGTACCAATGCTTTGGCACTTTCCTTATAAATCAAGAGACTCATTTGGTATCAGTTCATTTGAGGACCTGCTATCCAAATCTGGCATACAGGCAGCCTATAAAAGCAATACAGAAGGTCTTCCGCACGTTATACAATTTCAGAAGCGAAGGCATTTCACAGTCCTTTGACGCAGGTTCTCAGAAAGTGTAGTTATAAAAAAACCCAAAAAAGACTGTATTCCACATGTTATGGAAGTTTAGCCACGATTCCAGGAGCAACACTGTGGAGGAGATGACACCCTCCCACCCCACCCCGGTAAAGTTCTTCAAGGAACATGCATCCTTTGTTTTTGTGGTAGCTCTTATAAGATGTCAACACTGATGCTGCTTCAGCCTTCAAGAATATTACAAAACAACATCCTGATACAGACTTCCTGTGGAGGATACACTCAACAAGCTAAAACTCCTCCTCGCATTTCACCGTTCTATACCACTATAGATACAGTTCATATTAAAAGTGATCTATTCTTTAGTACCCAAGCCTTTTATTCTATAGCATTTGTTCAATATCCAAGTCTCTATACCTTTCCTTAGCCAGCCAAGTCTCCCGTTATAATCAGAAACTACTTAAAGTGCAGAACTCTTCTGAAAAGTGACACCGAGCTGCATGTTTCTTGTCTCACTGAATTTCATCTCACATCTGCCAGTTTACAAATAAAATTATGGGGTTTTTTTCTCTCTGAAATTGCCTGAATATGAACTAGGATCTGAATGTCCAAGCTACAATCTTTTATGCCTCATCAGTATCAAGTTTCCATGAGACAAATTAGGTCCTGAATTATATCTGTGCAATGCCTGACCAATATTAGACAGCACTGGAAATGGACTCACAGGAAAGGAGCTCTTAGATGGAGGCCTCAACAATAGGGCTTTGTACTTTATCTACCAACCCCCAAAAACATTCTTCCCCTCCTCCTTCTCCACCTTCCAAGAGATTAGATACCCTTGTGGCTGCTACATGCTACTATCCTTGGGTGGCTCCCAACTGCCACAAATGCTCAGCCTGCCATGTGCTGTATCTTCATGTCAAAATCAGCACATTATAGGGCGCCTCAGATAAGCATATAGATATTGCCACAGCAGATGAGACCAATAACTGGTCTAGTATCCCATCTCTGTCAGCAGGACAATATGAGATGCTTCCCATATAGAGGTCCCATACAGTACAGGTACTCCTCACTTAACGTCATCCCGGTTAACATTGTTTTGTTATTACGTCGCTGATCTATTAGAGAACATATTCATCTAAAGTCGCACAACGTTTGGTTATAAAAGTTATTTGGCCGCTGCCTGCTAGTAGATAACTACTGTGCTGTAACTAGATTTGCTTAACATCGTTTCACTTACAGTCGCATTTTTCAAGAACGTAACTACAACGTTAAGCAAGGAGTAGCTGCATACAACATGGCAGCACACAGAATTCAAACAAACAGATTGCAGATACAGTAACATCAACCACAAACTAAAGAGTTGGTTAGACCCAAACCTACCCTCACCAGAGCATACAGATATAGAAGAGCTTTTGAAACCTGAGGAAGACAGCTCTGCACTATCAGATAGAAGGGCCAGACATATTTAACACTGAAAGTTTAAATTCTGCATGTGCTGATAGCTACCTTTGTGAAGCAGCATCCCACTCCTCACTGGTGAACAGACTTCTCAAACCCTGACAAAAGAACAAAGTTGTGCTCCTGAAGGCATTTTCATTTCCATCATAAACATCATTCATTCCATAAAGCTACAGTGACAGAAACATTGCCCAAATATTTCTAGTGATATTTCGCTTCATATCATTTATTCATTCCATATTTTTTCTTTCATGAAGCAGTATTTAAATTGGAACGGTTTTCACAACTTTTAGGATGTAGCAGCTGTTGCCCTTTTGAAAAAACTCCAAATATACGTGCGTCCACACCCTGTGGTGACATCTCATAAATCTAACTGGAACAAACTAGCCTTCAACTTTCTTTCGACTGATTTGAAAAGTTTACCGAAAGCTGAAAAATAGCTCAAATATTCTGTTTCATTACCCAATGTGTCCATATTAATTTAAAACTTTTAAATTGATCTTAAATTCCCCAATAATCCACAGCAATCATGTAATCTATCTTGCATAATTTACATAGCCAGACACCCAAATTGACAACCTTAACAGACCACATGATCTTGTCTTTCCTTCAGTCTCAATTATGAGCTTTAGTCTTCCTGTTTCTACTTCTTCCGTCATTTACATCGACAAGTATATTTTCTGGTATTCTTTTGCAGACATACCAGAAACATTACGCTAAATTAATTCCAACTATTGAAGAGGCAGTATAGGTGTTTATAGGAGTCTCAGTGCATTTCATTCTAGGGAATGCTTTCACACTGTCATTTCCCATTTCCAGATGGGGAGACAAAAGGTGATTCTCTCAAAGCCATGCTCCTGCTTTCCTAAGCACTCAGATCTCTCATCCACTGCGCCATGCTGACTCCACCCCCTGAAGTAAAACCATGAAAGAGAGCTTAGTCAAGATTTCAAAAGAGCAACTAGTAAGTTTAGAGGCCCTGTTTGAGATACAGTAAAGGGCCCTAAAACTCTTTTCTGAAGATTATGTCCTTTAACGTGTTTTACTTTGGGAACATACGTCCCCCACAAGACCACCAAAAAAAAAAATCACCAGTCACTAGGCATATGAATGGTTAAATGGTTAATTGTTTAGCCAATAAGCCCAGTGATAACTGGTTATAGCTTACTGGTTATTATTTAGTGTTGGGTAGGGCACAGTCCGGCAAGGAAGACAGGAGGGAAGTTGCATGGTGCCCCAGCAGGAACCAAGAGGTGGCAGGGCAGGCAGAGGGAGAGGGACTAGTACCTTGAGGCACTGCCTGGATGTGGCACTCCCCTAGATAGCTGAGGAGCATCAAACCGGGAGATATGTGGTATAAATATAAGTTACTGTTTAAACCTTATACACAAGTTTAAATAGGAACGTACAAGTGAAGTGCAGGAAGATCAAAGAGTTAACTTTCTCTCTTTCACGTCTAAAACCAACACACTATGCATCCTGGTACCAACAGACTGGAATAGCAGACGGACGGTCTCAGACGCAGTGGGTTCCAACTCAGAGATCCACAGCTTTTCCCATGTCATCTTAAAACCAAAATCTCCACCAGCTGCACAATGTTAAGTACAGGAAGCCCTCCTGCAGCATGTATGCAGCTGACACTGCCAAGCAGCTGTTTAACTAGCAGACCACTCCCTTCATTGCCAGAGCTTCTATTTCTCATCCCCATTCCCCTCCCTGCCACTCCAGTTTAGCACTTATGCTCATGCAAACTGCTCAGAGGGCTGTTCATAAGATGTCTGGTTTTGTTCCTGAGATGCTGGTTCTCCTTGCACTCAGAATGCCATTTTTTTATACTGTAAACAAAACCCACAGACGGCCAAAGCCACTGTTTTGCCCCACCTTAAACAGATTGGATTAAAAACAAACATTCAAAAATTACTTTGCTGGATTTTTAAAGTTGTGTCTGCAAATGAGTATCTCCAAAGCAAATGCCCACTTAATCATTAATGTTGTATAAAAGGAGAAACTTCGAATACAGAATCTCCCATCGTGTTTCACTTGTACACCTGCATTGTTACCACTTAGGCGTACAATAAGTATTTAAGTTCTTAGCTAAAATAAGGTGACTTATGGAAAACAACATGGAAGACTGACTAGAGCATTTTCACTGGCTTACCATGGCACTCTGGGGAAAATGGCTTTGGTTCTCTGCACTTTACTTTCTTTATACATAAAATGGAGATACTACTCATCTGCTATCTTTGTAAAGCATGCTGAGATTTGAAAAATGCCAGCTCTTATTTAGTGCTAAGTGCAATCAAGAAAACATTATTAAAAAAAACAAACAAACACATAAAAGCAGCAATTTAGGCTTGCATTCAAGTTTAGGAAATATCACTTATTTGGAAGTGAACGCAATACTACGTACCTTGAGCAAGCATGTTAAACTCCAAGAACAGTGCTATGTGGTAAAGCTCCATAGCTTCTTCAGCCCTAGTCATGTTTAGTTTTCCTGCTACAAGAGCCTGAACTTCACTTAGACTCCCCACTGAGGGACTGGAGTGCAAAACCGAAAGGTCCACCACATCTGTATACACACAGTTTAAAATGACCTTAGCATATTTTTTTGGTATGATAGATTCATCCAGTATAATTCTAGTTGGAGTCCGTAGAGTTCGATCAGTAATTTCTTCACCAGTTCGTATCCTCCTCTGCAGTAGGTGTCGGAAAAATGGGGACCGTGATGAAATAATAGCTTTGTGAGCTCTGAGCTCTTCATCTATGCAGTTTGGACTTCCACCAAAAGTTTCAACCAATTCAGAGTTGGACGAGAAGCTAAGAACCACATCATAATAACACATGTAATCAAACAGCCCACGCATATCAACATCCAAGGAATTTGGTGTTCCAAATTCTTCACTAAGCTGCACAAGGATATCAACATTTTGGAATCTTGAATCCTCCATCCCAAACTCTCCTGTATAAAGGTAGTGTAACAATGCAGAAAACATAGGCATGTCTATGCCAGCTGTGTTAATGTCCATTATTATCTCTGCACCATACTCTGGTGAGGAAGAAAGCAGCGTCTTAAAAAATGGACACCTTGCTGCTAATATCGCACGATGCACAGGGAAGCAAGTTTCTTGAAATATTAAGTCCACATCAGTACAGTACTTGTACTGATACAGATCAGCCATGTCTTTCTGTAGCGTCCTGGTTTCTGGTCTTGCCAAATTGGCTTGTAGATAAAGTTCCTTTAAGGCTGAGGTTCCCTCATATTCTTCTACTAATGCATTGACATCTCTGACATCCCAGCCCGAGAGGAGCTCTCGCATCTGTTTGGCATGATCTGCAGATCGGCTAGATTTCCTTCGCTTAATAAATTTCTTTTTGAGGGTGGCAAGACCGGAGGTTTTCTTTTTCTTGTCTTGAGGTTTCTCTTGGCCATGGTCAAGGCTATAGAGTTTTGATTCACAACCATAGCCTTGATGAGAGTAGGATGACGTTCCTGAAAAAGAAATGGAAAAAGTATTGTGGTAAAATATTTAAATTAAACACAAGAGCTTAACACTGACAGTGGTGTGTTTGGTTAGATAAAGATTATCAGTTAGGCTATTATCCCTTCTTTTTCACCCAGGTTTTAAAATAGGCTCTAGTCAGATTTCCAAGTAAATAAACGATAAAAATTATTGTCTTATTTAATCTTCTACTTTTCTTTGTACATATTTAATGACTTCTATCCCATATCTACTGAAACTAGACAATTCTGACTGGCTTAGCTTACATATGCTACATTTATGTCAGGGCCGAGTCAACAGAAAATAGCTGTAAAAGTTTCAAATTTCATTGTAAATTACATAAGACGACAGAAAGTGACAAAATTGTGGACTATTTTTAAAGCTTGAGCATGTCCTGAACCATGTCAAATAAAAAGAGACTTCCTAGTTTTCAAACTAATCCCATTCTCTACTTTATAGTGTTGTACCTCTGGCATCTTTATACGTGTTAAACACTATAGGAACTATGGGTGCACCAATTCAAGCATTTTTGGCCAATTATTGGCCTATATGGCTCGTTAATACCAATCCGATAGCCGATATGCAGTCTGGCAGCTTGGAGAGCAGTGTCTAGCCAGTAAGTTGGGGTGGGGGTGAAGCAGTTCAAGGCACCCATGGGGAGGGAGAGAGTGGGGCTGGGGCAAGGGTGGGTATTTCCCAGCCGGGGTGGGGCGTGGTGCAGGACAGAGCCATGGGCAGCTCGTCCAGGGGGGCTTCCCACCATTGTGTCCACCTCCAGGAGAGGCACAGGGGACATGGGCCCCCCTGGATTTGTGTGCAGGGTGAAGGCAGGCTGCCCACTGCAGGCTCAGGGCCAGGGGCTGCACTGGCTAGTTCCTGGTGGCAAGGGAGGGAAGGGGGCTGGGCTGCACTCAGGGTGGCCAGGGGGAGGGTGGGTGGTGATGGTGGCCCTGGGAGGGGGGCTATTGGGTGGGCTATGGCCTCTCCAAAAATTTGCCATAGCCCTCTTGCAGCCCTCCTTTGGAGCATCACCACCCGCCCTGAGTGCAGCCCCAGCCCAGCCCTGCTGCCAAGAAGAGCCTTGTGCAGCCCTTGGCCCTGCAGCAGGCAGCCCACCCTTGCCCTGTGCATAAATCTGGGGGGGGGGCGCACATGCCCCCCATGCCTCCCCTCATCCCTGTGCCCCCATGGACAAGCCACCCACAGCTCCATCCTGCACCCCGCCCCACCCAAGCTGGGCAGCACCTGGCCCCGCACCAGCCCACTCCCTTCCTCCCTGGGGGGGCCTCAATCTGTACCCCCACACCCCTTCTCCCACAACAGACTTACCAGCCAGATGCTGCTCCCCAAGCTGTCAGGCTACATTCCTGGTCACATACGTGCAACATTTAAAATCGGTGACATTACTGGTTACACTGGCCAAAAAAAGCTGATTGCCAAAAACGTCAATTTTCCTTTCAATGCTGATCCAATATGGACTGATATATCAGTGCACCTCCAATAGGAACATCTATCTGTTCCCAGTCAAACAGTTATTTAAAGAGGGATAAGAGAAAAGATGGAAAACAAAGAACAAAAATGGAGGGTGAGAGAGAAAGAAAGGAAGGTAACTCGCCACTGATTTGGGAAAAAAAAAAAAGAGCAAAAACCTATTCTACGTTCATCAATAAAATAAAGTTTCCAACATATTAGATGGGACACTTAAATAACCAGAAACAGTCCATGCACATGCTCATGTAAAACAATGCATGGCACATGTTGCTTTATGTCACTCTATTTGGTCTTGAACTAATATGTTTACAGGAAAACAGAATTTATTAAAAAAAAAAAAATATTCTTCACAAAGTTACGTCAGAGAAACCTTTCTATGATGATGGATTCAGAGACTTAATATGAGAAGTAAACATTAGATGAATTAAATCTATTTTCATGAAAACATTCTTTGCACAGAAAAAGGCTATTATTAAATACAGAAGCAGAAAAGCTTTTAAGTGGATTTTCTTCTTCACTTGGTGTTTTCAGTTTTAGATATACTTCCACTTTCAATTCACTCAAGACCAACCCCAATGGGATCTTGATATGACTATGCAATTCCGGACACTGGAGTCAGAAGCGTGTAATCAAGTGGAAATACCTAATGACGTTTTACAACTGTACTGTTTTGAAGCCTTCCCCCTCACTGTTAAAGGGTCTTCACCTGCCTTGTATACAGCAAAGTAACCTGACAATTGAGAAGAGAACAGACAGAAATTGGGAGCTGTATTTAAACTACTTTTTAAGCACAGATAAGTTTAAGTATCTAACCCAAATTTACAAATACAATGCGGTTTTCTGACTTCACCCCAAGCCAAAAACAGATGCTTTGATAAATTTCAAAAAACTTAAGCTACTGAAAAGTGAGTATCAAACCCATCTGTGGCATACCACCCCAGAGTGCCACATTTCTCCTGATGTCCTGCTGTTTATCCCACAGAACAAACCAGGGTTTGCTCTGGTATAACTCCTTATTCCTGCAAGCCTCAGCTCTACTGTCCTTACACAGGACCCCACAGCTATATCTGAGTAATCTCTGCCAGATCTAGGAAGTTTCCCTGTGGTTGTAAAAGACTTTTAGGTCCCCCTTTCCAAAGAATAGGCTAGCTTGGAATATCACTCACCCAGAGAACAC